CGACTGCTAATGCACGCCACGGTCAACAATGACAATAAACCATGACAACAGCAATCCCACCCACGCAGAGAATTTTGGTTCGCCTCTTTTCTTTCAATTTAACAACTGCCACTTAAGTATATAGTAGTAAGTGCTTTTAATTGCATCCAAGCTGGTTATCCTTGGACCTTTTGCTTTCAGACATCTCCAAGGGAGTGAATTTTATGTGCCGTGTGCTGTTTCCAAGTTTGCATATCATTGGTGTGCCATTGTCATAGAAACTGCTGATTTCATTGAAGGGTTACTCATAATTGACTCAAAACAAGGTCCAATTCTGTTGCAGCTTATAACTGTAGCCTGGTGCGATTTTAGATTTGAACTGACTGACTCTTTTCGCCCCGTTCAAGCACCTCATAGAGCCACTTACCGAAGCGCTACACGAGTCAAGGCAGGTGCTCTCACAACGGAGAGTGATTGGCGTGTGCTTGACCAGATCTCCTGTTCTCTTAAGTGTGTGTTCACACTGACAGCGATTAAATCGCTCAAGGTCAGCGAGTTACTGCTCTGCCGCATGCTACTGTAATAGGCGTTCACACTCGATCGCTGTGTCTGACTGAAGCAGGCAGCGGATCGCTTTTCGACACTCCCACAAGATTTGCTGCATCGTGACTGCTCATTTGCATACATTACTGGTAAAAGTTTGGAATAATACGACTTTATGCTTTCAAAAAAGATGTCATTCACCAAGGACTTTTAATTTAGTTATTTAATAAAAAATACAGTAACGGTAATAAAAAAGTAATAATGTGAAATATTACAGTTTAAAATAATTGTTTTTTAATTATATATATTTTAAAATGTAATTTATGCTTGTGATGGCAAAGCTGAATTTCTGAATGATCCTTTAGAAATCATTCTAATATACTGATTTGCTGCTCCTTTTTTATCAATTATTATTTGTGCTCAGTTATTAATAATGTTTCCTATTTTTATCAATGTTCAGAATATTTTTTTTTTTGTGGAAAATACTTTTCCCCCCAGAATTCTTTGAATAGAACATTGAAAAGAACAGCATTAACTGAAAATATAAGACTTTTGTAAGAATATAAATTTCTTGACTGTCACTTTTGATCAAATTAATGTGTCCTTGTTGAATACATTTTAATTTCTTTTTTTCTTTTTTAAAAAAGCTTACTTTAAAAAAAAGCTTACTTAAAAAATGCAACTGAATCAAGAGTCATATAAAAAAAAAGAACCAAATCTTACCAAATCAACATTTTAGAATGATTTCTGACGGCTCATGTGACACTGAAGACTGGAGTAATTATGCTGAAAATTCAGCATTACTGTACATCACAGGAATAAATTACATTTAAAAAATGTATTCAAATAGAAAACATTATTTTAAATTGTAATATTATTTTACAATATTACTGTTTTTACTGTATTTTTGACCAAATAAATGCAGCCTTGGTGAGCAGAAGAGACTTCGGTAACACTTTACTTGAAGGGGTGTGCATAAGACTGACATGACACCTTCATAATCATGACATGACAAGTCATGAATATGAAGGAGGTTTTATGCATGTTTATGACAACTGTCATTAAGTGTCATTCGCTCAGTTATGTCATTTTTAATGCAAATATGACATTATTTGACCTAACCCTACCCCTACCCTTACCCCTAACCATAGCCCATAACAAAGACATCTCAAACAATGTCATCTTTGCATTAAAAATTACATAACTGAGTGAATGACACTTAATGACAGTTGTCATAAACATGCATAAAAAACCTTCATATTCATGACATGTGTCATGTCATGATTATGTAGGTGTCATGTCATGATTATGAAGGTGTCATGTCAGTCTTATGCACACCCCTTCAAGTAAAGTGTAACCGAGACTTCTTTAGAAAAGTTAGAAAAACAAAGTCTTAATTATTCCAAACTTGATAGTGTCAATTTTCAACCTTTTTGAATCTGCAACAGTTGCTCATGTTTCTGGGAATTGCCAAATATCATTGAAAATGAATGACTTTGTGTGGCTTCAAATGGCTGTCGGAGTGAACGCTTCCTTAAAAGTGAGCAATACATTGATAGGGAGTCCTGTTTGAGCTATAATGACAGCTTCATCTTCCTCCCCACAGTGAGAGCAGAGTGCACCTGCTGGAGTGAAGCATATATCGGGCATCCTTGATAGCTTCTCCCGCTCAGCCTCATAATACACTCGACACAATCTTGATATCTTTCCTCTGGCTTCAAAGTGAAGTCCTGACCTCTCTGATTGTCATATTTTTCCACAGACTGTGGTTGCTGAAAATTGGCTGACCATAACAGTGCCTTCAGAATGCAGTTCTCATCTTGACAGAGCAATGGAAGTTTTGTCTACATATAGATAGTAGTTGGGTGCATATTTTATTGTTGCTGTAAGAGCTCTTTGCCCTGTGCAACTTTATAATTTTTTAAGACAATATAGTGTAGCTTTTCACCAATGCACTCTTGTGTTTTGGACAGGTCCTCAGCTTAGGATACTACTGTGCTGTTGTCCCCAACATAGTTTTTAAGACTTCATTGGTCAACCAACCTGTTCAACTAAGTTGAATATTGTTGCTAGATGCTGAGTAGTATAAGCCAGAATTCACACTTTTTTTTTTCTTTCAGCAGGACATATACATGAAAGCTCAGTATTAACACTTACCTGGCTGCCTATGGAGGTGTCATTTTGAGGCATCATTCTTTAAATATGTGACCTGCTCAGTAACAGATGAATCCAAAATGGTTGGTAAACTGAGAAAAATATCTATTATTAAAAACAAATGCAGATAATATTCATTAAGCAAAATGTCACTTATGTACACCTTTAAATTTTTTGTTTTACTTTGAATTACATTTTAAATGACTACTGTATGCTTTAATAATATTTTGTCATGCTTTAAAGAAGTACACTTATTTTAATGTGTTGTCTAAAAATACCATTACATATGTAATGTATAATTTTAACTGTAGTGTATTGTTCAATATTACATTTAAAGGTAATATATTTCAAATGTATTAAATTGCAACTTTATCATTACAAATGTGTCATTACAAATATATTAAATGCATGACATACAGGTTTCAATAGAAAATACATTCAATTATGTTTTAGTTTATCTTAAATGCTTGTCAGTACATTTGACAGTACGCTAACCATATTTCAGAGACATAATTATGAAATTACACAAAGATGTTGTTAAGTATTAATTAAGTTTTGAGTTTCACTTTCAAGCCTTACTTAAGGGGGTCAAAAATCAATTCAGGCAATTGCATTTAATATGCATTTAATAGTTTTAAATTATCATACATTTTAATTTAATTGCACTTAAGTATTCTTTTGGTAATAAGTACTCTTTTTAAAAGTATGCTAAAATGTGCCTGCCTTTTCCACAAATGTATAATTTGTTAAATATTAAAGGGTTAGTTCACCCAAAAAATGAAAATTAGCCAATGTTTTACTCAAGCCATCCTAGGTGAATATGACTTTTTTCTTTCAGGCGAATCCAGTCAAGAGTTATATAAAAAATTGTCCTTGCTCTTCCAAGCTTTATAATGGGAGTGTTTTTTTTTTTTTTTTCAAAAGTCCAAAAGAAGTCAAATAAAGTGCCAAAAGTCCAAAAGAAGTCAAGTGCACATCCATAATAAAACGGGCCGGGGGGTGAATAAAGGCCTCCTGTAGCGAATCAATGCATTTTTGTGAGAAAAATATTCCATATTTAAAACGTTATAAACACTTTTCTCTCACTTCTCCTGACTGTCGTACGCGGAAGCCATTCCGGCGGATGACGTAGGACGTATGTGCACCTCTGAGATATGCTAGTCTCATGAGTTTGTTTACAGGAGCAAAAGAAGCAAAGTTTCCTTACATTAGCAAAGGTAAGTCTCCTCTTGGCTTACATCAAAATCCTCTGACATTTTTCTTTACAAATCCTCATTTTGTGCTTCTAATTCGTGACCAGCGTTTTGTTTAGCTGTCTCTCCGTTGCGCTTCCGCGTTCTTTACTAATCTCCGGCGCGTGTGCTATGCATACGTCCTACGTCATCCGCTGGAATGTCTTCCGCCTACGACAGTTAGCGGAAGTGAGAGAAAAGTGTTTATAACGTTTTAAATATGGATATTTTTCTTACTAAAACGCATGGATTTGCTACAAGAGGCCTTTATTCACCCCCCCGGAGCCGTGTGAGGCACATTTTATTTTGGATGGATGCGAATTATTTGACTTCTTTTGCACTGTTGAACAGAAACACATTTGCCTGTATTGCCCATATTGAGCGTGCCCACAAGCCACTGCCATTATAAAGCTAGGAAGTGCAAGGACACTTTTTAATATAACTCCGATTGGATTAGTCATATACACCTAGGATGCCTTGAGTGTGAGTAAAGCATGGTCTAATTTTCATTTTTGGGTGAACTAACCCTTTAAGAACTATTGTAAAATTGGTCGGATCATATTAAAAATGGACAGATTAACCAGTATTTGTGTGTGTGTGCAGTCTGATGGTTAGCTTAGCAACATGCTAACTCTAAACTCTGCTTCACATGTCATGTGAAGCTCTATTTGATCACTGCACAGAGCTGCTGTCTATGTAGAGTGTTCTAAATCAGTCACTTTTATGAGCTTCCATCTGTGTTAGGATACTGCCATAGAAGACAGCTGCCTCACTCAGTTTTGGAACTGAGACAGTGTTCACATGTATGGGTACATTCATTATCTTTTACTGATTTGAAATCTATTTATTCCACAGGCCATATATTAAATTCCTTTTCAGACTTTTTAGGGTCTCATGGAGGTCTGGGTGGTTTTAAGAGGTCCAAATGAGCTTTAGTCTTTAGTGTTATGCAAGATCTTCATACAAGCTTCTACACTTCATCTGCTCCTCAGTATGGTCCAGCGAGTAGATCTGTCTTGCCAAGAATTGTGCCTTTTTTATTTCTCAGCATGAAAATGTATTTTTATTCAGATTCTTTGTGTGTTTGTGTAGGTGTGGCAGTGTGGAGGAAGTGTGGAGGTGTTGCCCTGTGCCCGTATCGCCCATATTGAGCGTGCCCACAAGCCCTACACCGAGGATCTCACTGCCCACGTGCGCAGAAATGCTCTGAGAGTGGCTGAAGTGTGGATGGATGAGTTTAAAAGCCACGTCTACATGGCCTGGAACATTCCACAAGAGGTGAGGTCTATTATGTCAGCTACTGTACTTACTGCTAGAAAGTCCAGTTGACATTTACATTCATTTAAGTGGCAGATGCTTTTATCCTAACATGTCTTATAAATGAGAAATGCTAAAGCACAATTCATCCAAAGGACACAAAGGAGAAAGGTTGCAATACAAGATTTAGGGTTTAGATTTCATAGGAGTATTGTTTATATAGTAATTAATTTGTCCCTATATTAAGTAAAAAAGGAATATATTTAAAATGCATTTATTTCATACTAAGTATAGTTCAAATCTTTTAACATATTTACTGACACATCACTCGAGTCTTACTGGCATTAAAAAAATATTATGAAACTTCATTTGGAGTACTGCTTGTGCACAATGCACATTTCTTAATATTAAGCCTAAAATGTGTTTTTAATGTCACTACACATGAGGATTGTATGATCTCTGTATAATATCGGTCTTTAAATGCAAGATATTTAATGTTTAATACCTGATGTGGGAGATTTCACTACATTCGAAAAAATTCAAGTTTGGTGAACTCTGCCATGTGAATTTGTATCCCTTGAAAATGAGACTGATACGTCATGGTGCAACATCTTAGCTGAATTAAAAGAACACAAACTTTAAATCTGCAGTGTTGCAGTGGAGTAGGTTGCATTTTTTTCATTCTGGTTGTATTATTTGCTGGAAAAAAAGATTTCTAAAAAAGACACAGAAGGGTGTGACATAATATATGGCCGTTGCAGTGTTTGTAACAATTTCAAAGTTCACGTGATCATGGCTTTGAAGGATATATCCACCTTATTTTTTTCGTAAGAGCAAATTGAATGTTTCTGACCTCTGGTGTTGTCCGCCTCCAGTTATTTTTAACTTGCAAAACTGCTTAATTCTGCATTGAAGAATAAGGTGGATAGGGTTGTTCTGGTGACATTTGCGATATTCCACCATCAAGGAACAGTGAATGTGAGTGTTCTGGAAAGTGCCTCATTGTGATGGCAGCACAAGCGCCGCTCATTCACAGACCCCAGCAGTCTCAGAGGAAGCATAGATGTGTAAGTGTGTGTAGGAGGGTGCAGATTTTATATCGCAGCATCAGTGGCTTGAATCTGATGTGGCTAGATACTGGCAACCAGTGTAGCGAGACAAAGGCCATGTCCACACGTACACGGGTATTTTTATAAACAGAGTTTTTCCTTCTTCCGTTTAAAAAAAATCTCCGTCCACATGAAAACGCAAAAGCATGCTATGAAGCACTGTCATGCCAAACCAACAGGTGGCGATATAATCTCAACCGTAAAGCCATGTTGGCCAATCAGAAGCCTGAAAAAGTTTCCAGTAGGCGGAGATAACAGCGCAGGCTCCGACATCACAAGCCAAAAACTCCGGTTTCGCTGGATAACACTGCAACCGGAGTTTTTGAAAATCTTCACCCTGGCAGGCGTTTTCAAAAATGTTCGGTTTCAGTGAACTGGTGCTGCGTTTGCGTGTGGACGAACGGCCAAATCGCGTAGAAAAAGCTGCGGTTTTAAAAATAACCGCGTTCGTGTGGACAGGGCCAAAGAAGGTGTGAAGGGAGCCCTTTTGGGTTCACTGAAGACCAGGTGTGCTGCAGCATTCTGGATCATTTTAGGGCTTTTTACTACATGCTGGACGGCCAGGCAACAAGTTTATTTCCTTCTTTCCCCTTATATATCCTTATGAATTAATAATATAAATGTAAAAATTGAAATTAGGTTTTTATTAGGTATTGCTGATAATATTATACAGAGTGCATCAAATAGGAGGTTGGTTAATCTCCTTACTTATGCTGCCTGTAAGAACATTTTTCTTAAATGGATCTCTGATAAACTGCCAACGGTCTCAGAATGGCTTATGGTGATATTTGATTTTCTTTCATTGGAATATATTACCTACAGGTCAAAAGGGGAAATGGATATGTTTTATCAGACATGGAACCTATTTATGAATCTAAAATTGATGCAAGTATAAGGATTTTTTTTAATTTAAACTTTTTTAACATTTCTTTCTTTCTTTCTCTTTCTTTCTTTCTTTCTTTCTTTCTTTCTTTCTTTATGATGCATGTATCTGTGGCAGAATGCACTTTTTGTGATTTGTAGTCATTATTCTTTTGTTTTGTTAAAATAAAGAATAAAAAAAATGTGTACACACATCTACTCACAAGGTGTAAGGAAAACATGTTCTTAGTTTTACGTAATGGATTTTAAATAATTGCATTTAAATATTTCTTGAAAATAAAACATTTATTTTAAATTAAATGTAACACTTTCAGTTTTAACGTTCTTTTTTGTTGTTGTTTTTCATTTATTGATGACACTCTTAAATGCCATTGACTGTTAACTGGCTGAGCCTGACCAGAACATTTTTCTGAAAGTCTGATATAGAAATACCTTCTTAAATTGTCACAAGCATATTCATTCTTTTTTTTCTTCTTCTTCTTTTTCCTTTTTTTTTTAACAAGTTAAAAACAGGAACAGGAGTGACCCATAAACTCTATGTTTCCGTTGTCGGAAATAAAAATTATGCCCACAGTCAGTACTGTACATTCATACATAACTTGAATAATTGGAAAGTAAATCTGATTATAAAGATTGTAGAAAAGTGATTAAAATGCGTAGAGAAATACAGTTGTTATTGTCCATTAAGCAGCTATTACCTCATTTATAGTTCTCCAGCCATAAGCTCTGCTTCCAACCATATGTTACAGTGCTCCATTTATTTAGGGAGCTTTGGCCCTGCTCGTGCATTTATCAGTGAGACAGCAATTAAGATCTGGTGAAAGCGGAAGGCGTTGTGAGATTGCAGCTGATTCCCAGACCCAAGCTGAATGTTGAGAGGAGGGAAAGGGAGAAAGGGAAGTGACTGTTGACGCAGGAACAAAGACATGACTCTAGTGTGCTGAGGAACATGAACTGAGATGTTCTTTGCTATTTCAGTTCCAGTGGTATGGAGTGCAATGCTGCATTTTCATAAATCACTGCTATAATATATGGCAATTCAGCCTGATTCTATATCTACAGTCCGATAATCTCTTCCTCCGTTGTGAGGACGAATGGTTGTGCTATATTATGATTATAGTCATGACTAAAGGTCATTGGTACAGCATGAAGTGAAAATCATCAATTCTGTCATCATTTAATCACGCTAATGTCATTCCAAACCTGTATGCATTTATTTCTTCTGCTGAACACAAAAGAAGATAATTTGAAGAATGTTGATAGCCATATTTTTTTTTCTCTACAGTGGATGTCAATGGCAACCAAAACCAACATTTTAGTTGCCAACATTCATCAAAATATCTTATTACATGCTGTATTTTTGAGTGAACTATCACTTTAAGAAACTGGCTTTTGTTATTTAAATTACAAAAGACTGGAAATTATATTGAGGACATTGGAAAAACCTATAAATTGATTATAATTAAAACTTATTTTGTCTGAAACATCTTAATTTAAGAAAGAAAAAATAATGTCAGTTAATTATGATAAAAGACAATTTTATTGTAGCTAGTTGCCAAAGAAACCTTTATCATTTTCATTTAGTTTAACTTGATAAATGAACTGAAACGGATATAAAAATGCCCGTACGTCATTTTCATACGTATGTCAAGTCCCGCGCCATACAACATCCAACGGGGAGGGTGGGTGGGCGCTCTGGAGGGATTCGGGGGTTGGAGCTGACACTGGAGCGAGCTCTGGGGCTCGAGCCGACACTGGAGCGAGCACTCTGGCGAGGAAGAGGGCCCTGAGCCAGTCATTTCTCCTCTTCCTCCTCTTGTGATTAAGGGTGAACTGGGCGGGCTTTTCGTTGCGGTGGCCGGCGGGCTTGAGAGAGCCGCGGCCGGCGGGCCTGACTCGGGAATGGCCGGCGGGCTTGAGTGAACGGCGACTTCCATGCCGCTGGGGAAAAAAAAACAGGAAAACAAAAACACTTAAAAAAAAACGGAAAAGAAAAACGGGGAGAAGAGGTGCCGGTCACTTTTTGCTGGTCCAGAATTCTGTCACGCTTCGCTACTGTGAGGAGCTTGGAGACGAGGAGTGGAATTCAAACATATAGGTTTAAATAAGATCCAGGGAACAAGGAAAACACACGTAGCAAGGGTAGACATACAATTCCAGACCAGGGAGAACAGAATGGGCTAGGGTGAGGAGGATAACTAATAACAAGGAACACCTGGAACTAATTGAAGTAATGGGGACAGGAACAGGAAAGACCAAATAAGGGCAAGGAAGGTACATGGGGAGCAAAAGACACACAAAACAAGGAACAGAGTCTGACACAGTGGCTGTGTCCGAAATCGCCCCCTATACCCTTAAATAGGGCAAAATATTTGAGGGAACAGCCATTTTTAGTGGTGTCCGAAACCATAGTGGACGTTCTCGAGTGCACTCATTCAATCCCACAATGCACTGCAAAAACGAGTGTACAACTGGTGCACGCTCAACGGCTAGAGAATGCCCATAATGCACCGTGAGAGTCACGCGCCGAATGAATTCCCGCATCTCGCCATAAGATGGCGCCCGCAGCTGAATAATCAATCCGTTCATTTTTACAAAGCGCTCATCCATGGCGTACAGCATAATGTACAACATGGGTATAAATTCATTGTAAATTGATTATTAAATTGTTTGATTAGGGTTTATACATAATTTCCGTGACAGAGTTCAAGATAAATCCTTTAATCTTACTACTGGAGCTGCTAGTTTGCTAGTTTCAAATGATTAATAAACAGCAAGCACAAACTATGCAAAAGCGGCATTCCTTCCGGTGCACTCAGTGTCCGAATTCACTACTCGTTTTCATTCACTGAATTGAATTAGTGACCTAATGTAGGGAATAGTGAATGAGGGTATAGGGGGCGATTTCGGACACAGCCAGTGTGAATTTTAGCCACACAGAAACAACTGCAGATTCTGTGTTTCTCAAACTGCATCAAACGTTTGGAAAATGCAAAAAGCAAATGTGCATAAAACAACTCTCCCCAAAATGCATAGACCTAATCTTGCAGTGCATATTTAAAGTTGTTTACTGTCATTGTCTACATATTAGTCCTCACTGTGTTCACATTAAATTATTATATTTAAAATCAAAGTGATTTACACAGTGAACAAATGGTTTTACTTTTGTTAAAAACATCAAGTTCAGGTTTGATTTATAAATTAAAACCATAAATAGGGTCTTTCGCCATGATTCACTGTACTCTGTGTTTGTGTGCCTGTGTGTGTGCTCCAGTCAGTGTCAATCAGCTCTGAGGGTTTCAGTCAGTAGAAAGCACACTGACATATATGATGGGGTCGTGAAAATGTAGGACTGAAAAACTGAAACCAAACAGAGGTAAAAGGTCCGTTTATTTGAACCTAAACTACATGAATTTCTGTCTTTTGGAAAGAAGATATTTTGAAGAATGTTGTTAACCAAACAGTTGCTTGTAGCCTTGGACTTCCATAGTATGAAAAAAAAATACTATGGAAGTCACTAGCTACCAGCAACTGTTTAATCACCAACAATACAGGTTTGGAGCAGCTTGTGTGACAGAATTTTAATTTTTTGGGGTAAACTGCCCCTTTAAACTTATTGGTATCTCTACCTTTTTGTGTTTGTTCATGTATCATCAGGACTCAGGGATAGACATCGGTGACATTGCAGAAAGGAAAGCACTGAGGAAAAAACTGCAGTGCAAGACCTTCCGCTGGTACCTAGTGAACATTTACCCTGAGATGAGAATGTACACAGACACCATCGCATATGGAGTGGTGAGTATTTGTATTAAAGGGGTCATATGATGCTGCTAAAAAGAACATTATTTTGTATGAAACGGAAGCAGTTTGCACATGAAAAGAGCAAATAAAGAGTTCAAATACTGTGCAAATAACTGTATATCTTGTCATATAGACTCATTTCCCAGCAGTGCAGTGTTATCTGGAATCAGATTGTGTTGTAATAAAACCCTGCATGTCCAGTCAGAGCAGTGGCAGTTGCAAGACAGTTTCTCTCCACACGGCTAATGCTTTAACCGCGGCTCCTGTGAGTGCTGAATAAGCTACAGCTCATTGTGAATGCCCAGATATTGTACCATTGAGGCAGAATTTGAGAGCAGTACTCGCCACGTGTGACACCCACTCGCCGTTCCATCTAAGACGCCTGAAGAGGATTTTCCAATTTGCTTGACAAAACGATGCCTGTGCAACGCACCGCTAGCAGTCGAAGCGCGACTCACCCGCACTGTTTTTATTAGCCATGCATGTCAAGTCCAAACAATTCATTCACTTTTACTAGACTAAATAATAATGCACTTGACTTCTCAGTATTGATGCAGAAACAGGCTGTTTGGTTGAGGTGTTCATTCTGTGCTTGATTTCATCATATGTGTTTTCATAGGCGCAATTAAAAGGAAGAAACTGTGGAAAATAGGTCAGCCTTATTGAAATGAATTCTGGGAGTAAAGGGCTCAGAAATAGCTCTCGCCCTCATTACTTTACTCTGAGTGACTGCATTTGATGAGCCTGTCAATCATGTTGGCTGGAAATTCAGCACGCGGTGATAAAAGGCACAGCAGTATTCAGCTGAATCCAACGGAAAATGCCAAAACAGAGATACGATCCATTGAAGTCTTCCGCTAGGAATTCTGTTGTCACTGATACGGCCATGTGTTTAAACATTATTTTCATTAGACATAACAGTTGCAGTACGCTTTGAAGCCTATGGAGCAAAATTGTTTTTGAGGCTCTGCATGAAATGATTTTACTAATAGGCTCTTTATACTCTGGAGGTAAAATCAGGTAAACAGAAGCGCAACGAGTTCAAGTTATTCGTGGAAGGCGTGACAGTACGGCTCTTTTACTTCACCAAGGACTTTGGCTGGAATATCATTTAGATGATTCATGAGTGTGCATACACTTATGAAAATGAATTTTATAATTAGAACCTGTAATTAGGAGGAGAATTAAACCGCATTACGATGCAAGTGAGAAACAGCCTTGAGTTTTATCTGCTATATGCTGTATGTGAAAAAGAGGGGCGACAGCGAAAAATGACATGCACTTGATTGTCCACTTAATTCTGATGATGCTATTTTTCTCTCAGCTGAGAAACTCTCTGAAGACTGACTTGTGTCTCGACCAAGGACCAGACACTGACAACATTCCCATCCTTTATCTCTGTCACGGGATGACACCTCAGGTGAGTTGCTTTTCTTGCTCTGTTCACCTGCATCAGTGGAGTGACTGTGACATTGGTTTTGTTTTGCTTCAAATCAAATGAATTTGGCATTCTGTGAAAACCATGTGACAGCATACTTTGCTTGGGACTTAATGAGGAGAGTAAAACATTATGAAATTAAGTGTTGTTTTATGTGTTTTTGATTAAGATGAGAAAAGCAGGAGACTTGATAGTGTATAATAGTGTTAAATGTTCAGTTATGTTGGAATTAGGGATGCTCCGATCAGGATTTTTGCAACCGATACTGAGTACCGATTTCTTATCATGGTGATCGGCCGATGCAGATTCTGATGCTTCAAGCTTTATATAGACGGTTTCATCGGTTTTCATCAAGTTAATGTGATGAGTAGACTGAAGTTGGGCTCAGGTGGTTGTGCCATTTATTTATTTGTGGCGCTCGCCACAATATCAAAACTGACCGATTTTCCAAAAGGCTTCGTTTAATAAACATGAGCATGACCTGCACGTTTAAAAATCAAAACTATTTCTGAAGGAAGCCTATCTTTAGAAAATTTCAGATGTAATTTTCATTTAATCTTTAACCATCCATTCATCATATCATCATGCAAAACATACACAACAAATAGCGAATTTTTAATTGCTTCTCGAAACGCCATAGCATTTCCACACCGGCGATAACATGACTGTGGCGCCAAATAATTTATGTCCTCACACATCATGTACGTCGTCATGCGTTGACGTCATCAAATTGTGATCAGTTCGTGAGATCGGCCAAGTGAAGCGAGTACCGATCGAGTCATAAAATGTGATTATCGGCCAATACCGATCTCCGGCCAATCGATCAGAGCATCCCTAGTTGGAATTATTAGAACCGTTTAAATTATACTATAGTTACCATTGTGAAACAGAGTGGAGCATTTGCTTAGGCTGTGGACTGGTACAATACATTTTATTACTGTTTTGCTCAAAGAATATTTAACACTTTAGCATGCTATGTACTATTTAACATGCTATAAGTACTATATGTTTGTAACTTGTTAGCTACTTTGGACAGTTCTATAATTCAGTTATATGTCTAAAAATGTCTGAAACAGAATTAATTCTGTCAGTGAACCACATAAAATGATTCTGAGGCTACTTAATTGGGTCACTTTTTTCAGTGTGCTTAACTCTTCCCCCACCAAATACGGAATTTTCCGTGTTTCTGTGTTTTCAGTTATACACTTGGGGGCACTATTATGCATCTCCTGAATGAGTCTAGAATGTGCTGATCAAAAACACAGGCGAGGAAGACGCAGAAATGAGCAATCTCGTATGTATGCATATGCATATAAAAAATAATGCGATCATCGACAGTAAACAGCATCTAAATGAAAACTGCCTGATGTTACGGAGGGAATGTTGAGCCAGGAAGTGGACTGGACAGGACTGTGTAAGCTTTAGGGGTGCTGATGAGAGCCATCTACTGCATCTTTGCTTTGATCATCGTATATGATCCAGATGTAGTATTTGATAAAAATGCGATTTTTCAGCTTTTTGCTGAAAATGTAGCTTTTCTATGAAACCTGCCTACATTCAAGTGTTGATAAAAAATAAAAAAATGTCTTTAAAAGTAGAGACTCCCTTCATTATTTTGATGTGCATGTATGTTCAGATATTCATAAAACAAAATATTCTGGGGGCCATGAAATTGTAGTGAAAATCATCAAAAATGCTGGCGGTGGCTGGCAATTCTTTTTTCAAAAACGGCGGTGGCTGGCAATTTATTTATTTTTTTTTCAAAAACGCTGGCAGGGAAAGATCAATATGTACAATTTAGATTTGTATTTATCTGGATATTTGATATACAAATATGTAAAAGTTTAAATTGAAACAAATAGATTTAGTGAAAATATATACTCACTATAGTGAACTTTTAGTTTTGACTTTAGAAATTTGATTTGGTCAAACTTCATTTTTTTCAGTTGAGAGAAAGTAAATCAATTACTTGTAACAAGTTGAAGTAATTTTTTTTTTTACTTTGATCTAACATTTTTCTCAGTGTGGTTAATTCTAAACAAAATTACAAGGTGAAAAAATGTACAACTGACAAAATATTTATGTGTAAAATCTTTTTTATATATTAAATGATTTACTTGTTTTTGCTTTTCAGATGTAATTAGATAAACATTCATTTTTTTAAGCAGCTTTACAGAAAATGGTGTTAATGTATAATATCTTAAAGAAATAGTTCACCAAAAAAAATTAAATTCTGTCATCATTTACTCACCCTCATGTTGGGTTTCGTTCTTCTGTTAAGAACAAAAGAATATATTTTGAAGAATGTGGGTATCCAAACAGTATTTTTCTCCATACAATGAAAGTAAATGGCTACCATCAACTGTTTGGTTACCAACATGATTCAAAATCTCTTTTTTTCTGTTCTTTAAAAGAAAGAAACTCATACAGGTTTGAAACAACATGAGGGAGAGTAAATGATGACAGATTTTTCATTTTTGGGTGAACTATCCTTTAAGTCACATTCAGCAAGTTAGAGCTGGCTAATTATATAGTTTACATTTTGGCTATGTAGTATATGTCCTTTGTAGGTACTGTATGTTTGGATGGATGGATATACATACGACTTTATATAGATGTGTACAATAATACAGTTTATATATTTGCAATGATATAAACATTCATGCAGCTGAGATTTTACTTTATACAGTAGTATAGTATGTTTCTTTACACAAGTGTACTGTATGCAGGTAAAGATGGATGTACTACATATCCAACTTTTAATACATCATTGGCATAATAAAAGTTAAATTTTTACCTTAATTGATTGCCATATCATTAATTTAATGAAAGATTTTAAAATTTTGACAGCCCTAATTAATTTTTATTTGACCTATTTTGTTCTTTATGGTTAAAGACTTGGCTGAATAGTAGTGTAAAACATTAACGCAACAGACATTACATAAAACAAGGGACAAATAATAAAAGTACAGATGTGCCGAGAAGGAATTTTCGGCACTCAGTATGTTTAAATGTCTAAAAATATTTAAAAGCAGAAAAAATAAGTTTTTGAAGAGTTCCTAGAAGAAGGAACAGTAAATTGCAAAAATGTTCAAAACTATTCTCAGGCACTGGTGCACAAAATATATCACCGATTTTGTTACACATTTGTGAAATATCTCTTTACTACTCATGTTCCCACTTGTCGACCCACTGAGGAACACGGTGTTCTTTAATGTTCAGTAGAGTACAGGTTATCTTTACATGGCCAACTTGTTTCAAAAATGCCCTTTTTGTAGCTTCTTTCAGGAGACAATAATGTCGTTGACCAAATAATCTCTCTTGGTCTTCGAAATTAACAAAATGTTATGGTCAAATCATAGGCAGAGGGTGAACCAACTCCAAGGTAAGGCTAAAAGCAGCCAAATGTATTAAACATCACAAACCTGTCTTTTTAGGCAAGGACCAGACATGGGTGCCATGTAGGCTAAAAAAAAGTCGAAGGACTGAATTTGTATTTAACGTGATTACAGTTTAATAAAAACATTAGAAATTGATAGATTCCTTTCCACGGTTATTCAAACAGTGAATAAATTATATATTGAAAGTGACATTATCTCTAACATTGATCTATCGCGAGTTTAAGCACTCTAAAAAAAATAAAAACTATCGCTATAATCACTGAAGCTGTATACACTGTGAAATGAATCTCTTACTTACATTGTACGTCCATCTGCGCTTTGTTGTTTATGATGAGAGAATTCGCAAGAGTCCGGAATTCAGTCAGCGAACGTGCGCACACTCAACAAAACTGACCTGTTTCAACAATGACTCATCTGAACGCCTCTGATTGGCCATTGCATTCCTCAACAGAATTGTGTATGATTGGTTAAAATGCGCAACACTGTAAAAACGCCTAAAATGAAATACGGTGCAACATGAGCAGATCTTAATTTAATGCCACAATCGACACTGTCCATTCATATTCACTTTGTTATCAACAGACGTAATAGATTTAATTTGTTTGTGCAGGGGCATTTTTGTCCAATTTAGTGGCATTTTTGCCCCAAGTCCCTGTGGCCAGGGGAAAGCTAAGCCTTACACACGCTCCGCCTATGGGTCAAATTAATAAAAGATAAGTTTGATATTGTAATTATTTAGTAAGTATTTAGAGAGAAAATAAACTAAGAGGTTTCATGTGTGACATGGAAGGACCTGTAGTGCTCTCCTATCCTCAGAGAGAGTCAGAGAGCAGCACTCGAGCTGATGGCGCCACTCAAGATGGTAAAGGGCAGTAAAAGGGTGAACAATAAGTCATAGAAGGTGCTGCAATACCTGATCCAGGAGAGAAAGGGCTGATTGAGAAAGGTTATGGAAGCATGATGATTCCCAGAACACAACAAGCACAAAAGAAAGAGTTTGGTTGCAGTAGCATTGGCCTATAAAAAAGTCACAGGTGAGAAATTAGTTTTTCAATGCTGGTGAATTGTTAGGCTCACAAATCACTAGGGAATTTTCAGCAGATGTAGTTTAGAACAGCTGAGATGTTTTCAACAGCTTACTAAAAACAGGAAAGAGAAATGTTTTGTTTGCCATTTTCGCCTGGTTTGATCATTTTTATTAATTCGGTTTTCTGTTGAAACAGAGAGGAAAAAATAATCTAGCTAATCCAGATAAACAGTTACGTGCCCAGACAACACACAATTATGGATCACAAAAATAGGTAATTTAGTGTCTGTGTCTGAGATTAAATGGAGAGCAAATAGATCTTTCTCTTCTCAGGTATTTTAGTTAGTAATGAGGAATAACCATTAAAGGGTTAGTTCACCCAAAAATGAAAATTAGCCTGTGTTTTACTCACCCTCGGTGAGTAAGGTGTATATGACTTTCTTCTTTCAGACGAATCCAGTCGGAGTTATATTAAAAATTGTCCTGGCTATTCCAAGCTCTATCATTGCAGTCAGCGGGTGTTGCAGTTGAACAGTCCACAAGTCGTCAAATAA